CTGAGAATAAATAGAAATTACCTTAAGTTAGCTAGAAAAAAAAATAGATTACAAAATGATTCCAAAATAGAATTCTCAAAAAAAAAAATAGATTCCAAAATTTTAAAAAAAAAACGGCAGGAACTTAGTTGCCAACCCAGTATATGTGGAATGAGCTGGCAAGATTATGTTTACATAGGTTTTTTAAGGGGTGACTTTTGTCATCCAGCACTAGCCTGATCCTAAGTGTACAAGATTAAAGAAGCTGGACAGTAATAAAATTGACAAAGTTTAACAAACGTACGCTAAAAAAATAACATTTTTGATCTTGATACTACTATTACTGTATATTCCTTCGGCAATTTTTATTGTTTTAAAAAGCTATTTTTAGAATTTTTATAAAATCCAAATATAAAACTGGTTATTTACAGCATTCGGATTATTATCCTCGTCTTTATTGCCATATTCGCAACGTTTCGGCCGTTGTACGCTCCGGCCTTCTTCAAGTGAAATTTCGAAATCGAACGATTTTTTCCGTCCACCGGAGTAGATTGTTCTAGTTCCACGTGCCATGCCTCTTCCGGATGTCTCAGTTATTTCCCTCAACTCTCAACCCAACTCTCCAAGTGTGGCCTGGTACTGAACTCACAACTCTTTGGGTCTAGTCACTGGATCTAACCAACGTCTTTATCCACTAGGCTAATAAATAATGTAAGTAATCATAATATCTCATCTCAGAGATATAGACAGATATAAAACTGGATTTACATATTTTTGCAAACTGACAACAAAAATGTTAAGGACTATTTATTTATAGTTTTAATTTTTTTAAATTAAAAAAAATTAAAGACAATTTTTAAAAGTGTTAAGGAATATTTATTCACAATTTATTTTCATAGTTATTGTTGTGGGGATCTCCCCTTTTTACATAAGATGGACACGTCCAAAGTATACTTATACTGACAGAGAGAATTGCTGTTCAACCTGCTGTTGAGCTACGTCGAGATACAGTCTCGACGTCTGTCGAAGTCTGCATTAGCAGAGAGGAACCCGGACGAAGCTTTGCCGAAGGGCAAGGTTTTGTCCGGGGAGGTAGACAGACCCTGAACCCGTCTAGGCGGGTTCAAAAGGTATATTTTTGGCCGAGCCTACGGGCTCGGAGAAACCCACTTTAAACTCGGCCTTGTGCCACATATATTCCTCATGGGTGGGATATTAAATACCGAGATACGTGGAGATACGTTGAGATACGTTGAGATACGTGGAGACAGGTTGAGAGATACGGAGACAGACACAGGGTGTTCTCAGAGAGTTATACAAGAGTCCAGAGAGAGAAATGATTACGGCTTTACCTACAGAGACTTGTACATATACTTTCTACTAACCCGAATTCCTGGACTACTAATCTTCACTTCAAGTCTGTATTCTTACGTTTAATACACTTATTTTTCTATCTCAATTGCTGGCGTTGTTTATTTATTTGTACAGGATTCCATTCACGGAATCCACAACAGTTATCCCGTTATATGGTAAAATAATAAATATTGCATTATAGTTGATACAGATGTTTTTTTTTTTTGTTTTTTTTATAATCTAAATTTAAAATTATTCTTGTAAGTAAACAATCCAATAAATAGTGTTTAACATTTTTGCTGTCAGTTCTCGAAAAAAAATGTATGAATCCAGTTTCATATGTTTGAGTTTTATTATAATTGTAAAAATAAGTCTTTAAAACCATAAATGTTGCTGAAGGAGAACAGCGTAATAGCGACATCAAGAGAAAAATCGTCCTTTTGACACGCTGTCTTTTTGTATTTTTTGGCGGGTACGTATGTTAAACTTTGCCATATAATGTTATTGAGCGAACGGGATACAACATTGGATATTGCGATAAAGGTGAACAGTGATCGAAGAAGGATGGAAAAAAAAGATATTTGAAAACATTATCAACATAACACGGGGCCGAAAGCTTCTTCCCAAGTCATTTTGAGAAACAGGCTCCAAACGTGTACGCGTCCTCAAACACTACAATTTCAACCTTTTCAAATCTAGGCCAATCTTTGTATATCCTCCATATCCTCGTAATGTTCCCTTCCTAATTCCTCTTTTTACATTTCTGTCCGAACAAGGCTACACGAAACCGTTTCCCAACCACGATATAAAGATCTTTTCAACAAACGAAAAACAACCATCAAACATCTCGGCCTTTATATGGAAAACATTATAAATGATTCAAGAATTCACTCACCTAACCCTTGAATCTTCTACTCTGGGAAACCCACCTTGACTAACAAAACAGCCAATAATTTTTGCTAAACCTTGCGAAACGCCCTAAAACCAATACAAGTCCATATAGCTTTTTAGAAGAAATTGATAATATTTTCCAGGTGTATCTGTCTATATTTCTGAGATGAGGTATTATGTACACTATTTTCATTATTCGGACTATTGTTCTCATCTTTGTTGCCATATTTATTACAACGTTTCGGCCTTTCAGTATCCGTCTATATTTCTGAGATGAGGTATTATGTACACTATTTACATTATTCGGACTATTGTCCTCATCTTTGTCGCCATATTTATTACAACGTCTCGGTCGTTGTACGCTCCGGCCTTCTTTAAGTGGTTGGAATGTTGAACTGAACCCTTTATTTCGCTCACTGGGGTAGACTTTTCTTGTTCCACGTGCCATGTCTAATGGGTGTCAGTTATCAGTTATCTCTTGCTTAATTCCTTCTCCAAGTTCTCCACCGCCTTAACCAGGTATTGGACTCACACTCTTTGGGTCCTGTCTCTGGGTCTAACTAACGCCTCTATCCACTGTGCCATGTGTCCTTGAGGTGAACGCAAACTATATGAACTATATACTAATGGCTAAAAAAACATTGATAAAGTCGGATGTTCAGACAATCTTGATGACGTAACAATCAAACAACGCTTACCTGATAAATACTCTATTTTGAGTGTCGAGACTATAACAATTGACTTAGTTTTAGTCATCGTAAAAGACAATGAACCAGCCAATTTTATAGTTTTCTTAGATTCACTGAGAAACCAAAACAGGAACTGTAGCGGAATTGGTCATGGTTAAATGGAATTGGCAGAAATGTCCAACAAACAGAATTGACAAAGATTCAAACAATAAGAAGAAAAGAAAAGAACAGGGCAAAATAATATTAAGCAAGCAAACTTCATATGCAAGGCAAAACAACATTAATATGGCGAATCAGCAGTAATAAGTCAAACATTTCACAAACTATGAATGGTGTTAACGCACAAAGGGGAATACAGACAAGCGATCGCAGCATTGTGACTTCAAGACAAGAAAGAACCTAACAAAGTCGGATAAGACCAAGAAGTGGCCTAATCTTATTGGCTAGGAAGAAATCCCAGCATGCACCTGTGTGTTTTATTTATAGATTTGGGGATGGGCATGTTTTTTCAGTCATTTCCCAATGGATTGAAACCAATTTAACCCATTAAATTACTAAATATAAATCAATCTCATCTGCAATAAAAAAAATTGTCTTCTGTTGAGTACCTAGCCATATTAGCATCTGCAGAAATAGAAAAGCTGACATGGCAGCAAAGGAATCCCTAAACATAAACATTTCAAATTCTAAAACTTCAAAGCGACTATAAACTCACACATTCCAAACAAATAGCAAAAGTTATGGAACTACCACACAGACAACAAACCTTACAAAATTAAACCCATTGTAAGAGAATGGCGCCATGGTCTCACACTTTCTCGGAAGCAGTTGTCCAATGAATAATATATATCACTTACTCAGTTCTCATAAAAATGAACAACTTCCTGAGCACACAGCTTGCCAGGAGGTATATACTGTAAAAATAGAGACGACCCGTGTCTTTTTGAAGGAAGACACTCTATATCCCAAACTATAGCTTGAAATAACTCTGTTCAGCCATTCTTGACATACTGATCAAATAATGCTTACATGAAAAATTCCTTTGTTTTTCGTGCTAAAACAATAGTCATAGTCTTAGCTTTTGACGTCATAACAGACAATGAGCCAGACAACTTCAGATTCACTATCTGTATTTACATCACTGGGAAACAGAAATACAGACAATTCCTTAATAGCTAAATTACTAAACAGGACCCGTCTCATCTGCAAAAAAAAAAAAAACAATAATAATAACTTATCTTTTGTTGGCTACCTAGCATGTGGAAATGTAAAAGCTAACATGTCAGCAAATGAATTTCTAAGAATGAACATTTTAAATTGTAAAATTCCCTTTACTGACTTCAAAGCAACTATAAACTCAACAAAAGGGAAAACGAGACCAGCGGTCGCAGAGTTCTTCAAAACAAGATAGAACAGAACTAAGTCGGTTGAGACTGTGAAGGGGCCGATCTTATTGGCTAGGAAGAAATCCCAGCATGCATCTGTATGTTTTGTCTATAGATTTGGGGTGGGGATATTTTTGCACTCATTCTCCAAACGAAATTGTTCATTATAACTTCCCTTTAATGAAGGTTGTATTTGATAGCACAATGATTTAGTAATAATGTGCTTGTATCATGCATCTTGTCTATATACAATTTGTAAACCTTCAGTAAATTATAAATTTTATAAGGCTGTGCTATAAGGCTTTCAATGATCACCAGAATTAAATTCCACTATTTTGAACTTAAACTTAATCTTGAAACTCGTTTCCTCAAAAAAAAAAGAATATTTTGTGTCATGATAAATGAAAGCCCATCTTTCAAATTGACTGCAATATCACGTTTCCAAGATCGACCTGCCCTGATGACCCCAAAGGATATACAATCAATCAATCGAAAAGTAATACTCTAACTTGAGTGGCTTATGGGCCTTATAAAATGGCTTGACTAGCAAGAAAATATTTGAAGAAACTGATGTTGCGAATGTAAAAACAAGATGGTGAATTTTAAAAGATGGTAAAATCTAGCAAACACCATTAATTAAACTCGCAATAAATTTTCCCAATTCGTAATAGTACGCAGTTATCAGTGACATAAACCCAGTTCCATATCTGTTCCCGTACGACCACCAAAGTTAAGCAGCGTCGAGCCCGGTCAGCACCTAGATGGGTGACCGCTTAGGAATGCTAGGTGCTGTAAGCTTGAATGTGCGGATGGTGTAAAGGATAATGGTTCGGAATTTTAAATCCGACAAGCGAGTTCGAATTCCAGTCAAGTTCGTTATATTCACTTACGCACAAATACCCTTGGGAAAAGTATGGATCCACCTCTTCTCCCCTCAGCTATGGGTTAATTAGTAAGATGCATATCACTAAATTATTATTATTATTATCCCCCACAAAGAAATCTGACAATTTAAAAAAGAATATTTTCTGGCTTTAAATAACCTGCAATGGGTTGATAATCCGTTAAAACCTATCAATCAATCAATCAATCAAATCAAACCCTGTTTCAGACTTAACATTTGGAATTAAAAAGTCAGGGTTCGATCCGACACTGCATTTAGGACCTCAATTCTAAAATGATAAAAATTCAATGTTTTTCGGCTCTGACAAATGTTGTTTGCAGAAAAAAAAAATGGTTAATGCACGCTAATCTAAAAACATTATTTGATGGGAGTAGATAGGTTCGCCTATCGTCCTGTTCACACTCCTCCTCGGACTTTTGATGAGGTGTAGAGGTTTATCCCTTGTTTCTTGTTTAGGACTGGGTTTCTAGTTCCTTCGAAAATCTTCTCTTGCTCTTTCTCGCCTCTTCGTGGCATTATCGCCTTGCTTGGGGTGAATTGAATAAAAACGGAAAAAAAATTCCCTAAATTTTTTTCCATGATTTTTAAGAATGGATCAGTTAAAATAAGTAGTTCCACAAAAGATATGAAAGCAAACCAATCTCTAGTGACTTTTCTATAAATGTTTTCCTGGTAATTGTCCTTTCAGTCAGCATCAAATTCAGATACGAGTGAAAACTTTTTTTTTAATCAATTCACCCCCAAGAAAGGCGATAATGCCACTAAGACCCAAGGGAGTGGAGGCTGCTAGTAGTAAAAAAAAGAATGAAAAGACCTTAGAAGAAGCCGGAAACCTAGTCCTGAACATTAGACAAGTGATAAATCTCTACTCATGTTCAAAAGACAAGGGAGTAGTGTGAACGCTACAATAGGCAAACCTCGGTATGAAAATTGATATCCTGACAGTAATTTGTAATGAGAATTAAAGGCTACATTAAAAAGACCTGATATCTGGGCGAGAGGTTGGATTCCTTGTGGTGTGTGCGTACGTGTGGGTCGATTTGCCTCCGGCTTGTTGCAGAATTTGACAGTTTGTTTTCAATTAACGGCACCTTCCAACCCACTTGTTCTTTGCTTGGATGGGTTTAAATTTCTAAACATAATTTGGATGCAGGTTCTCATTACAGCCACGCCTTTATCAAAACGATCTGTGCGAAGCAGCGAAAAATGCCGTTCGAAATAAACCCCCAAATTTCTGCTCGTCTTTTTTCTTCTGACCGTTTCGATAAGATAGATATGAAATATGAAATAAATACGAATTGTATGTAAAATCTATACTGTAAACGAAAACCTGACTGCCTGTCCGTCACGCACTGTCTGCGGTTGACCTTCAATGAGCGTATGTAATGTATATACGTACGTATGTATATACGTATGTATGTGTTTGTGCGTAAGTGCCGTTTAAAATACACACACACACACACACACACACACACACTCACTCACACAATTTGACTGAGTTTGAAATAAGACATTGTAATAATATATCCCCCTCCCACTCAGTCTGGACAACCCTTACCATGTACTACTGTACTGATGCGGCATTCACCCTGGGCGGATTGAGCCGGCTTCTCCCTATTATGAGAAGATTCTTGGGATAAATTACAGAAGTAGGGTACCCAGGCCTACTCGGATAACGTTCTTGCTTGCCGCGGGATTCCCACAGACGCAGAGACAGGAACGACCAGAAGCCGCCGGTCAAGTCACGCTGAAACACCGGTTCTCGTTCGATCACCGAAGTTAAGCATCGTAGAGCCAGGTCAGTACTTAGATGGGGGACCGCTTGGGGACACCTGGTACTGTAAGCCCCCAAAGTCCAACCCTTACCTCACAGTCGGTGGGGGGGTGTAAACGGTAGTGTCAGAGCTATGCCGCCAGGAACTTCGTTCCTGGTATGGCCACCCAAGGCGGACAGGTCTGACACACACGCCGGCTAACAAGGGCTCTGGTGAAAATCCAAGGAGCGTCTGAATCGGTAACCGGCGACCTTACCATGGGCAGAGCAATAAAATCATAAATTTAAAGACAGGAAAGGAAAAAGGAAAAACATTAAAAAAAAAACAGTTATAAAACTGTTTTTATTTTTCTGTTCTTTCTTATATAATAATTCCGTCAAACACTTTCTTTGCTTTCATGTGTGGATGGTTGTTAAATAAAATATTTTATTGGTCCTGACCTGGCATCTCAGCTTCAATAATTTTCCTACTGTTGTATCGTATCTTCCAATTCCTTTTCTATAAATATTTTCATGGTAATCGTTCAGGTGAACATCCCTTTATATGTGTATATGCTTGTGAAATAAAATATTTAAAATATCAGTAAAATATAATCAGTTTTTCTTACTCTGACCTACAGTGACAGGGTTTTAGTATCCTATCGATAATTATCTATCGTCTTTATCCTAATCATAATTATATCACATGGTTATTATCTATTAATATAATTCCATTTATCTCTAGCAGTATGTTCGTGTTTATCTATTACAAACTATTTATGTCTATCTTTTGATATCAGCCGCTTCACACCAACCATGTTACCCCGACCGTCGTAATGTAGCTTCTCTGTGCTTTTTTCTATAAATACTTTTCATGTTAATTTTTCTGATGAACATTACTCTATGGTAGGCTTTACGATGGCGTAATGAGAAATCGGAAAGCCAAGTTCGAATTCCAGTCGAATCCATTACATTCACTTACGTGCTAATACCCTTGGGAAAGGTATGAATCCTTCTTCTTATCACCTCATACCTTCAGTTAATGAATGAGCGAGTTCTACGACAATAAAATATCCGTAGAAATTCTCCTATTGCATCGTTAAATATTCGAGCGTAACATTAACAAAATATCGCAATAACATGTGAATAATAGGAGCACCTCGCCGTCGTGTAATGGTTAGTAGTAAGCTTGTCTCGCAAGAACAGGTTACGACTGCCTAGTGAGTTCAGTCCCCAGTGATGCCCCATAATTTCGGCTGTGTGTCACATCTTGGCTACGCTTAGAAAAATCACCATAAATATGACTGCTGATCGTTATCTTAAAATAAATAAGGAGGTACAAATGAAAAGACTTGAAATTAACAAATTTTCTATTTCACTGAAACAGACGTTAAATATTTCCATTTTTGATCCATTTTCTGACTGAAACCAAGTAGTGTCTTTGATATGCCTTTTATTTTCTCATGTAATTAAAACGGAATAGTCCATTATTTATTAGCTATTAGCAGGAAACGATAAACATTTCCTTCTTTCTTTCATTTTCTCAATGAAACCAGGTAGCGTTGCTGAATGTCTATTGTCTTTCTACGTGATCAAAACGGAATAGTCCATTACTTTGAGGCATTGGCATGGCATAACGGTCGTGCAAACTAACGAAACGAGGGACAACCAACATTATTATACGATGTTTGTTATATGTATATTTATTTAGAGGCTTTTTTATTTACTATTTTTTGCTTTTTATTTTTTAATTAATACTATTCTTACTGTTATTATTATCATCATCATTATTATCATTCTATACTCCCGAAAAATGTTTCTAACATTTCTCCACAACTTCCTTTCTTTTCTTGCTTCAAACAACTCTTGCTTCTTTACCACTGTTTTTGTCTTTCTGAACCTTGTTCTACCAATCATGTTCAGCATGTGATTGGTCATAGCTGTCCACCATTGCTTTAAATTGGACTCGCCTCTGTGTTCCATGTTGCTCCATAGATTTATTCAGACTCGTCAAACGGGTTACATACTATTTCCTCCTGATATTCTTGCCTTTAACATGCCCTGGGTGTGTTAAATTCTCCAACCTCTCTGTTCTCTTTATGTGTAGCAAGAAGCTGGACGAATAGTCCTGCCAAAATCAATAGTGATCCCAGGAGATAAACTATACAGTGTGATTAAAGGTATTCGCACAGAAATATCTTCGCTTCGTGTCACGGGTCCCATAACCCGATAGGGTTGTGGGGGCACTACAGGTACTGCAGTCATAGCAGAAATGGTGTGTCTAGGGCAAGATGACCTGACGGAGTCTAGCCCGCTTCGAGTTGGTTTTGAATTCACGGAACAAGTAGTTCCCCTGAAGGTAGATATCAATGTCTAGTCCTATGGAACCCTAGAGGTCAACTCAGTCATCGCTAGGAGTCACTCCCACTACAATCCTCTTTTTGATTTACATACATAATCTGCCTAAGAATATACAAAAATCAGTTACAAACTTCTATGCCGATGATACGACTATATAAGGGCGCGCCTCTGAAAATTCCGATGGTCAGAAATTGGCAACTGGTCTCTCTCACGATCTTGCACTAATTACCCAATGGGGTAAAAATTGGCTGGTTACATTCAATAACACGAAGACGAAGCTAGTTAAATTCCATCATCGCCGATCTGACCCAAGAATAACGTATATACTCGCGGATAGGTCGAACATTTTTACCAAAAATTTCACAAAATATTAGGGGTGCAACCTATCCGCTCAACATAAATGTAAACCAACACTAACCTATCACCGTGATTTCTGAGAAATCCCTGAAGAAATCAGTCAAAAGGGTTGTTTCAAACACGGAAAAGGGGAAAATGAGGATACAGTTTCGTGAAGAACGGAAAAGGCCAAGAATGAGGATAATGTTGCTTCAAAGACTGAAAAGGCCGACAAGGTGGATACGTTTGCTTATAACAAGGAAAAGACCGACAGGGAGGATACAGTTCCTTCAAGCACAGAAAAGGCCTAGAATGAGGATAGGGTTGCTTGACGCACTGAAAATGCATAGAATGTGGATACGGTTGCTTCTAACAGGGAAAAGACCGAGAATGGGGATATGGTTGCTTCAAACACGGAAAAGGCTGAGAATGAGGATATGGTTACATCAAACAAGAAAAAGGCTGAGAATGAGGATATGGTTGCTTCAAACGCGGAAAAGTCCGAGAATGTGGATATGGTTGCTTCAAGCACGAAAAAGGCTGAGAATGAGGATATGGTTACATCAAACAAGAAAAAGGCTGAGAATGAGGATATGGTTGCTTCAAACGCGGAAAAGTCCGAGAATGTGGATATAGTTGCTTCAAGCACGAAAAGGGCCGAGAATGAAAATACAGTTGCTTCAAGCGCGAAGAAGGCCCAGAATGTGCATTCGGTTCCTTCAAACACGGAAAAGGCTGAGAATGAGAATATGATTGCTTGACGCCATGAAAAGTCCGAGAATGAGAATATAGTTGCTTCAAGCACGAAAAAGGCCAAGAATGAGGATACAGTTGCTTCAAGCACGAAAAAGGCCCAGAATGTGGATAGGGTCACTTCAAACACGACAAAGGCCCAGAATGAAGATAACGTTGCTTCAAACACGGAAAAGTCCGAGAATGTGGATACGGTTGCTTCAAACACGGAAAAGTCCGAGAATGTGGATACGGTTGCTTCAAACACGGAAAAGGCAGATAATGGGGATATATGCTACTTCAAACACGGAAAAGTCTTAGAATGAGAATATGGTTGCTTCAAATACGAAAAGGGCCGGGAATGAGAATGCAGTTGCTTCAAGCCCGAAGAAGGCCTAGAATGTGGATACGGTTCCTTCGAAAACGGAAAAGGCTGAGAATGAGGATATGGTTGCTTCAAACACGAAAAAGGACGAGAATGAGGATACGGTTGCTTCAAACACGGAAACGTCCGAGAATGTGGATATGGTTGCTTCAGACACGGAAATGTCAGAGAATGAGGATACAGTTGCTTCAAACACGGAAAATTCCGAGAATGTGAATATGGTTGCTTCAAACACGGAAAAGGCAGAGAATGAAGATATGGTTGCTTCAAACACGGAAAGTCCGAGAATGTGGATACGGTTGCTTCAAACACGGAAAAGGCAGAGAATGAGGATACAGTTGCTTCAAGCACAGAAAAGGCCGAGAATGATGACATGGTTGCTTCAAAGAAGGAAAAGTCCGAAAAGGTGGATATGGTTGCTTCAAACATGGAAAAGGCAGAGAATGAGGATATGGTTGCTTCAACTGCGAAGAAGTCCCAGAATGTGCATACGGTTCCTTCAAAAACCGAAAAGGCTGAGGATGATGATATGGTTGCTTCAAACACGAACAAGGCCGAGAATGTGGATACGGTTGCTTCAAACACGGAAAAGGCAGATAATGAGGATATATGCTGCTTCAAACACGGAAAAGTCTGAGAATGAGAATATGGTTGCTTCAAACACGGAAAAGGCAGAGAATGAGGATATGGTTGCTTTAAACACGGAAACGTCCGAGAATGTGGATATGGTTGCTTCAAACACGAAAAGGGCTGAGAATGAGGATACGGTTGCTTCAAACACGGAAAAGTCCGAGAATGTGGATATGGTTGCTTCAGACACGGAAATGTCAGAGAATGGGGATACGGTTGCTTCAAACACGGAAAATTCCGAGAATGTGAATATGGTTGCTTCAAACACGGAAAAGGCAGAGAATGAAGATATGGTTGCTTCAAACACGGAAAGTCCGAGAATGTGGATACGGTTGCTTCAAACATGGAAAAGGCAGAGAATGAGGATACAGTTGCTTCAAGCACAGAAAAGGCCGAGAATGATGACATGGTTGCTTCAACTGCGAAGAAGTCCCAGAATGTGCATACGGTTCCTTCAAAAACCGAAAAGGCTGAGGATGATGATATGGTTGCTTCACGCACGGAAAAGGTCGAGAATGATGATATGGTTGCTTCAAAGAAGGAAAAGTCCGAGAATGTGGATATGTTTCCTTGACGCACTAAAATGGCCGAGAATGATGATACGATTGCTTCAAACACGGAAAAGGCCGTGAATGGGGATATGCTTTCTTGACGCAATGAAAAGGCCGAAAATGAGGATACGGTCGCTTCCAACACGGAAGAGGCTGATAATGAGGATATGGTTTCTTCAAATACGGAAAACGCCGAGAATGAGGATATGTTTGCTTCAAGCACGAAAAAGGCCGAGAATGAGGATACGGTTGCTTCAAACACGGAAAAGGTAGAGAATGAGTATATGGTTGCTTCAAGCACAGAAACGGCCGAGAATGAGGATACGTTTGCTTCAAGCACAGAAACGGTCGAGAATGAGGATACGGTTGCCTGACGCACTGAAACGGCTGAGAATGAGGATATGGTTGCTCGAAACGCGAAAAAGCCGAAAATGGGGATATGGCTGCTTGACGCACTAAAAACGCCCAGAATGAGGATATGGTTGCTTCAAACACAAATGAAGATGGTTATATCACAAGTGATGATGTGAACAACTTCTCTGAAATAGACAATGATAAAAACCTATTAACTGATGAACAAATGAGAATGATGTATGATAGTGAAGAAGTATTCTTGGCATTTAGTTCTGAATGAATTTTAAAACTCTAACTTGATATATAAATAGATAAACACTTTTTTCTAAATGTATCAAAACATTTTCTTCTGTATTTATTTCTATTTTTTTTTGTCGTATTGACTCGATATAAAAGTATTATGCAGTAAATATAAAAATACCAATACAACACTTACTTCCTTTTGTTTACACGATGATTGACGAAATGTATTTTAACTGCAAATGTGTATTAATATTTGTAAGTTTTGAAATAAAGGTAGAAATAAAGGTAGATATCTGATAATTCTTACGTTTAAAATGGCGCTGTGTAAATCCCCAGATTATAGTGCGACAAATCTGCCAGTCAAAAGTAAATCAATTATTTAGCCATAAAGTAGTGGTGCGACCTATCCGATGGGGCAACCTATCGGCGAGTATATATGGTATCACCATTCAGGTTGAACGGAGGTCCTCTCTGGGAAGCACCGTACTTTGGAAGACTGTTGGGCCTCAAACTCACAACCCATCTGAAGTGGAACTAGTATATACGGCCAATTGGCTCTCCGTACCGTTCCAGTAAGTACCTGACTCATCCTGCTATCTTCTACCTTTACAAGAATCAGATAAGGCCAAAAATGGCGTCATATTTGGGCGGGAGCTGCCCAGTCCTTACTCTCCAGCCTTGTTCAAAAGAGTCCCAGAGTCCTTGGTGGGATGTGGCAAGCATCTCGCTGCTCTATCGTTACTTCTACGGAAATTGCTCGGACGAACTACACTACCTGGTCCCGACGAGGCAAAAATTCACAGCAAGTACACGCCATGCCACTTACACGCCATATAAACCAGACAACCATTCAACTCATCAGAAAGACTTACAACAGTAAAGAGACGCGAATCAACCTCGTCGTTCTGTCTTTCCCACCAAATCCATAGTGGATTCCCTTTGATCTTGTCTCCCAACTCCACTTTCTCTCTCCCTCACCGAAAGATTATGTTTTTCAGTCAGAGAGAACTTTTAAAATAAATATAAACTTTTATTTTCTGATAGTAGTTACACTTAAGAATTTGTGTATTTTACGTTAAATAAATATTGTTATTTTATTTGAACACATAGCAACGCATTCTCTCACTTTTTTTTTTTTTTTAAACAAATGGTGACTCATGGAATCTTTCCCAACAATATCAAACATTCAATCTCCAATAGCCGCAAGCGAATGATGTTTTTTTTTATTAACTGGTTTAAACGTCGTGGTAATCTCTTTATGATTACTAATATCGTCAGTATATTTCTGTTCGCCAAATACTTTATAGATTAATATCACATTAAGACATTTCGAAAATCCGCGGAGTTTGCAAGTGAACAATATTGATACAAAAATTTATACTACAAAACATCACTTACAAAGTTAATGAAATGACAAGGGAGATAATTAATATACTTGTTTCCAGAGTTGCTCCCCTTTAAACCCTTTTTTTTTTTCTTTTAAAGATTTTTTTTTATATTTTAGGTATGAATATTGAAATTAATTCAATTTCTTACCAGTTTTCTTTCATTTTCAGTTGTTTTTTTTGTTGTTGTTGCTGCCCTCAGATTGTAATTCTATAATTTCATTAAACAAAATGGATTGTAAATTTAAAAAAAGAGTAATCAATCTCAAGCAAAACTCCAAATTCATATGTGTTTATGAGCTATGAATTCTTCGTATTTCTTTTCATGAAATAGTTTTATACATTTTTGTAAGAAAAAAATTTGTACATATCCACATTTTCATATCATAGAGTTTAAGTAGGTCCCCTGCGAATATGTGGTAATTTGGTAAATGTTAGATTGGGTGAAGAGAGAAGGTTTCTTTTGGTGATTAAGTCAATTGCAAGAATGAATGTCACGTGAATCAGATTAGCTAGGTAGGATATTTCGTAACAAGCAGCTTTTCCCCACTTCCCCTTCAGTCTTGTGTCATAGTAAATGTACTTCATTTAAAAATAAAGGCTTTCTTGAGCAGATATGATCGATCGAGAAAAAAAACGTCAAAGATTGTGCATTTCAAAACAGTAATTTGATCTTTGCTAACCAGACGCTTCTCTGTAGCTAAATGGTATAGCACGTCAGATCAAATGACGGTTTCCATATAAGAATACATGCTTGATTCCTGTCAGAGAACGCATATTTTCTGTGAAATTTTTCGAACATTCAGACCGGTAAACGTAATTAACTAATTAAAAATCAGGGTATTGACTTAAGTAAATTGTATCTATAAAAATTACGTATAAAAAGAACATATATTAATTGTCGA